TGTGTGTGTGTGTGTGTGTGTGTGTGTGTGTGTGTGTGTGTATGTGTGTGTGTACTAGCTAGCATTATTTTGTTATTCCTCATGGGAACATTTTTCAGGTGTTTAGTTCACAACACTACCAGCAATTAATACTTACTTTCTAAGAGTTTACCTCTATATAAACTTTTCTTCATTTAACAATATATTCGACAATATGTTCTTCTATTAGTATGTATATCAGTATGTATAGAATAGTATGGATATTAGTATGTATAGTGGTATATTTTTGTATGTATTGATTTGCCTTACTCTTTTTGAATGGCTGCATAATATTAAATACTATGAACAAACTATCATTTATTTAATAAGTCCTACTAATGGGTATTTAGGTTGTTTTAATTTTTTTGTTATTGCCAAAAAAGTCAACATATATACATATAAATAGATATATGCATATATGTGTATCTAGATTAAATCTATAGCATTAGAATTGAAAGGTCAGGATATGGTGCTTAAATAATTTGTATGTTTATTTCCAATTTGCTTTTCAGAGTTTGCAACAACTAATTTGAAAGTGAAAAAGAAAATCACGGTGCGTGGATCCCATTGCATCAAATTATCTACATTGGTTTTTGAGCACATTATTTCTAATTTGAGGAATCGCTTATTTCTTAACTTTATTCTAGCATGTTTTTCATGAAGATAAAACATATTAATGAAACATGCATGGAGTTCTTTTAATAGATACTTTTTAAATGCCAAATGAGAAATTGATTTGAATCAATTTTTCTCACATTCAACTGTGAAATATAATCTGTCCAGGGCAATGTCATTAGATCTCTCATCTGACTGTGAGTGTCCTAATTGTTTGGAGAGTGCTCAGAATGAGTCTGATTGGAATCCCTCCTCCAGCAAGAGAGGTAACAGTTCTTTATATCCAAGATCAAGGAAGAAATCCATGCGTTCTTCCAGTGCACAGTGCTTTCCTTCACAGCTTTGTGCCACAAGGCCAGAGAGTGATAATAAAGAAGACTTAGCATTTCTTCCCTCAGAGGAGGAAAGCTATGTGAAGTTTTTTCAAAACAATCTTCTCAGTCTGAGCTCCAAAGACATCCAAAGGAAATTCAGACCGTTGAGAGAGTGGACCATCCAAGAGTTAGTGAGGGAGTTTGGGGATAGTGGGAAGCTCCCACCAAGCTCCATGTCCCTGGGCTACTTTAGAGATCAGGTCGCTATGACGTTCAGAAGAGCACTGTATTATTCTGGAATCTGGGTGACACATGTCCAAGGCCACAGACTTAAAAAGCACTTTTCAGCTAATTATTTCAAGAGAAATCCTGGTTGCCTACACCGGCTGATTCCCTGGCTGAAACGAGAACTGACAGCTGTTTACGGAGATTATAGCTACACAGTGAAGAATATCCTAGCCACTATCCTTCATCACATGACAGAATATGATTTGGACAGTGAGTCCTTCATTCACCTCCTGGAACCTTATCTCCTACAGCACACCCACCATTTCCTGCATGAGTTTATCAGTTTCATTCATTCACCCTACAACATGGACACCTATGACCAGCGAGCCATCTATCAATGCTTTGTTGCTTCACCACAGGAAAAAGAGAACTCCATTTCACCTGCTCCTGTCATACCTTTGACTAAGGATCGTGCTCAACTGATCTCTCAACATAATACAAAGCCGTCTAAAAACATCCAGGGTCAATGGAATAAGGAGGAGAGGCCACTGTCAGGGTTAAAACTGTTTTCAAATAGTAACTCTTCCTTGAAGAAATCTGAAATTCCACCAGTCTTCCAAAAAACAGTAAGTAAAATTCATGGTGGCATCAAAGACAAAACAGAATCAAGTCACCATAAAGGCAAAATTTCTATTAACAATATGCTCCTGAATTGGGCTACCCCAAGGGAAAGGGCCCCAGGCTTACTTAATTGCAAAAAAAAAGTTCAAGAGAAAATGTTAGAAGGGATAAAGTTACTTCCTGGTCATACTCATGATCTGGACAAGAGTGAAACAACTGCACACACCACTAGTACTCCAGCAATTTCTAATCAGGTGCAACCATGGAAGTACAGTCTAACAGACAGAAGCGTTTTGGGTTTTGGTCAGAAGATAAAGTTCCAGGAAAAAAAAGGAGGAAAAAACAAATACTCAGATTCTTCACCAAAGATATTTCAAAGATTGCCCAGAGAAAGATCCTTGACAAATTGCAAATCCAGAAAGAGAGATCCCTCTTGGAGTTGCATTTCAGAAAATACCTTTTCTCCTAAGAGAGATGGTAGGAAGCAGAGTTCTTTCAGGAAAAAGAGAATGAAGTGTAGACAATCCTCCCAATTTGTCAAAGTTGGTTCACACTCCGGTAGAAGAATCCAAAGACGATCAAGGTCCAAAACTCACAGATCCAAATCCTGGTGTGTCGGATCTAGAAAGAGATCTGTAAGCAGAGAATCAAGTAATCTCTCTCTCAGAGGAAGTCACAAAAGTGAACACTTCACCCAGGATATATGCTGTGAGCCTGCAAAAGAAAATAACGTGTATGACAGTGAATCAAACGACAAGAAGGTATCTTCAACTACAGTCCAATATGCGAAACTTTCTTCAACTGCTAGGAAGAAACTCAAGAGTCCTTCTAAAGGTGAAGGAGCTTCCCAAACTGGAAGCCACTGCAACAGTCCCACATGCTTACAACTTGAAAAACACAGATCCCCAAGTAAAAAAGAGATAAAGCAAAAAACCTCATTTCCTAGAGCCAGAAGAACCAGAGCAGTTAGAAACAGAGAAAACAAATGCCAGTATTCAGATATACAAACCACAGAGGAAGTCAGTGATGAATCAGAGGATCTGGATGACATTAGACAAATTAGTAGTCTTTCTGAATGTACACCTTCCTGCAGGAAGCAAATCCACAAAAAATAGAATTCAAGTTTTCAAAGTAATTGTGGGGTCAAGAATGAATACAAAGAAGATATAATATCAGAAACATAGAGGTGCAAATTGTTTTGAAAGGCAAATCAGTCTACTCAACTAGCCACCAAGATCTTTGAAAGTACACGTATAATCTAATAACATTACTAAAAAGATTTCTCACATCACTCTGTAACTGAAAGTAAAAGCCTGATGATTGAACTCAAAGCTTATTTTGGAGACAAATGCATATTATTAAATTGGTCATACATGTAAATTTTATTTCTGCCTGCTTTCTTCAAATGAATTGAATTATTAAATTATTTGATTTATTTTTTAGTTTCTGAATTTAACTATAACGATTGATTACCTGAAGTTCCAAACAGCAGACTATGCTAACAATAGGAGTATAACTTTCCTAATACAAGTTATACATATCAAATGTGTACATCAAGTTATACATATTAAGTGTTACTTAAAAGATAACATATATTGAGGTCTATGATACTCCACACCTAATACAGTTTCACTCCCTGGAAAATAAGACAAGAATATTGTCTTAAGATAAAGTCATTGTCTTCAAGTATTTCACAGTACAGTTGCAAAAATAAATGTAAATAAATAGGCAAAAATAAGCTTTTGTGAGATTTTTGGCACAGTCTCCAACATCTCCCTTCCCTGAAAATTGTACCTGCAGATGCCCTGAAATCTTCATTAGAAGCTGCCATGTTTTTATGTAATCCTGATTTCCCACTCACAGTAGCACAGTTCAGTGATTGTGGCTACATCTAAGCCAAGATAATCATAGTATTTTGCTTCTCTGGCCACACAATATAGTACTTCCCTGGTATTTTTCAAACTGGTTCTGAGAAAAAAAGACTGTTCTTTCCCCCTGGCAGCACATGGTGAAAGATTGAAAGTTGAGAGACACTATCAAGAACTGTATTTCTTTTTTTTTTTTTTTTTCAGTTGGAGTCTCACTCTGTCACCCAGACTGGAGTGCAGTGGCCGCTCCCGGCCACCGCAGCCTCAACCTGCTGGGCTCCGGCGATCCTTCCGCCTCAGCCTTCCGAGTAGCCGGAATTACAGGCATGCGCTACCATGCCTGGCTGATTTTTTGATTTATTGTAGAGAAGGCAGTTTGAGGTGAAAGAGAAGAAGTCTAAGAGAAAAGCAGGAGAAGTCATGTGGGAAAAGCCTTAGAAGCAGGACCTGATCACCTAGAACTTCAGCTGTCATTCTATTTTAACCCTTCCCTAAGTTTTGTCTTATTACATTTCCTCTTTTCCTCCTTTATTCAGTTAGGATTTTCAGTCACTTGCAATCAAACAGTTCACTAAGAAGTGACACAATAGAAGTCTGCTAGAGAATGGATAGGGAGCAACAATTATCTTCGGGAGGTTTTTGAAGACTTCTTGGGAAGTTATATATGGGTATGGTCTTGAAGGATAAGTTGAAGTTTGCTAGGTAAATTTTTGGGCAAGGAGTGACTTAAAGAAAAGGAAGAAAAATAAAATTTTCCAGTACTCCTAATGTAGCTGGGAAATCCTGTTAGGTACAATGAGAAGGGAGGTTGATGCCTTGTTATTAAAAGGAATGAAACCAGCCTGTTCTGAGTTCACAGCAGTCACAAAAGAATGATGACTTCACAACTGAATTTTTCCAAGCAGTTAAAAAACAAATATAAGTTTAATTCAAACTCTTCACAAAAATCGAAGAGGCGGGAATAATTTCAACTGACAATATGAAGCCAGAATTACTCTGATAGCAAAACAAGACAGACGAACGCAAAACAAACAAATAAAACCACAGACAAATATCACTGATGAACACAGGCATGACAAAGTCTTAGCAAAAAACCAACAAATTAAATTCAACACTACATTTTTGCATATTGTTAGAAATAGCAATTGAATTAGATTTTGGCCTTTTCTATATTCATTAGTAAAGGGGTATAAGTTTCTTAATTATATTCTCTACTTTTGCAATCCTATAACCTTAATTTTTTAATAGAGGAAGCATATTAAAATAATAATAAAAAAGAATTCAAATTTATTATTTTTAAACAACTATTTATTTATTTTAGTAACTCTTTTGAAAAATAATCAAGACATATTCCTGAAGAAATCTTAGAAATCCTATGTAACAGAAATAAATTTGTTCTAGTACATTCAGTTGTAAATATTGCCATATTTCCTTTTATTGTTTATTAATGCACCGTTTCATCTAGTTAGATGAACCATCTACTATCAGCCATGAGCTCAACCCTTCATAATAGAGATTCATGGGTATGTGTACAAAGTCCTGAAATTAGAAATAGGAAATCAATTGTAGTAGTTCAGAATGCTACAGTTTGGCAGCAGTTTATTAAAAGAAAGTAAAACTGGTATGTCGTCAAAAGTATACTTATGAACCATCAATGTTAATCTGCAATAAAAGATGTAAAGAATTTCTATGGGTTGGGAAAGCCAAAGTAGATATATCAATGCCTTCAATGAATGTGCTGTAGGAAAATATATTTCTCTGAATGTCTTGCTGAGCAATTCTGACTTTCTTTAAGTGTAAAGATCCAGGAGGGTGATGTCTGCTTAATCAAAGAAAGCCTGTTCTGTCAGAGTGGTCTTATGGTTTCTTTAAAAGTGAAGCAAGAGCCGGGCACGGTAGCTCCGTCTGTAATCCCGCGCCTTTGGGAGCCTGAGGTGAGTGGATTGCGTGAGCCCGCGGGTTCGAGACCTGCCTGGGCAACTTGGCGAGACCTCATTTCTACAATAAATCAAAAGTCAGCCGGGCGTGGTAGTGCGCGCCTGTAGTTCCAGCTACTTGGAAGGCTGAGGCGGAAGGATCGCCGGAGCCCAGCAGGCGAGGCTGCGGTTGCCGGAAGCGGCCACTGCACTCCAGTCTGGGCGACAGAGTGAGACTCCAACTCAAAAAAAAAAAAAAAAAAGTGAAGCAAGAGCCCAGAGGAGGAAGGGAGCCCTCATCCTTGGAAGTGTTCATGCTTGGCTGAATTTTAATACTATAAAAAATTTGACTGGATGTTGTCTAAATTCCCATCTAACTCAAAGATTCCAAGACTCATTAAAGAGTCACAGAAATTTGCTAATGAACCAAAAACATATTACCCTTAAATATGGAAATAGCTTTTCATGGATGAGAAAAAGAAAAAAACACAGTAACAATAACTACATTGAAAGCTTACTAGTTGTAATACATATACAGGCACACACACATACACACACACACACACACATTCTACAGGGTATTACTTTAATCTATATTTTATGGATGTGTAAGGCTAGGAAGTGTTGCAGTCTGGATTCAAACCCAAACAGCCCCTAATGACCTCAACTCCAGCATCAGTGATTTTAAACTACAACCTGACACTACCTATTTTTCAGTTGTACAACTGGTGAACACATTCACAAACACTGTGTCATTTTACTTTTACAACAAATTAGATTGGTTTGATTATGCTCATGATTTCAATGAGGAAAATGAGTTTCAGAGAGGTTATATTACAACAAGCAACAGAGCTAGGAGTCAAACCTATAGGTCTAACTGCCCACGCTTTGTATTTTTATACTTATTCTGGCTACCTGAGCTTTTCAAATCTAACTCAGAAACACAGTGTAATCACTTAGTCTTCTCTGCTACTGAGAGTATTTTTTCATTCAATATCCAGCATACTAACATAAACATGCAGGGTTAGGTGCGAGGGGTCATTTCTATTTAATTATAAGGATAAAAAGCAATTCTTCTTTCCCAAGTTCACCCTGAATTGTTCTTTTGATGCTAATGAGGTTCATCTCAGCCAGCTGGGAGCAGGCAGGTGACTGATTTTCAATACATATGCTTCAGTTCACACAGTCTCTTTTCTACGGCTATGGGTCAGCTGAAACCCTGGAGGTCCAGGGCCAGTTTTTATCTCTGTCCTTGACTTTCTAGTGCTCTTTGTGCTGATACTCCTTGAGATACATTTAATCTGTCTAGTAAAAAACAGGCAAAGAGAAATGAGGTGTCTGAAGATACTTGAGAGTCATTGTCAGGTATGATTATTTAAAAAGAGTGTTATTAATACTTATATATTTCCATTGTGCATCTTATGCTAACGTGAATTTGTCAATCTCCACAGCTACTGCTTCGGAAAGGTCTTCCTTCTGTGTTCACCAGAACCATGTGAGTAACTTCCTAACTGGTTTCCCTGTCTCTGGGTTCTCTCTCCAGATAGTCATCCACACTGCTACTGCCATTCTAATCTATAGATTTATTCATGTAATTTCCATGCCTAAAATTCTCCATTGATTCCCTGTCACATAGAGTATCCTCTAACCTCAATCCATTCATCTATCCTTTTGTACTTATACATAAAGCATAAACACAAACATATGTACATATGTGCATGCTGTTTCACGCACAAAAACATGCATGCCCTGTCTCCTACCAAAAGAATAGATTGCAATTTCCTTGTTTTAAACAAATACATTCCCTTCACAACTCTTATTCCAGAGTCTTTCTTAATACAGTTGTTGAATAAATATGTTTCCTCTAATTGGTTTGATATTATTGAACAGTATGATATTAAATGATTTAACTTCTCTGCAATTCAGTTATCACCTCAGTTAAATAAAACTGATTCAATCCCTTTTTGAATCACTGATCTTAAGTTCTGTAAAATAATGTCACTGCCTTGCATTTGAGGCTTCCTCACCCTTCTCCATGACAGTGATTTTGACTGAACTAATCTTTTATACCCACCTAGCTTTTTTTTAAAAAATCACATTATTGTGGTATATGGCAGATTTTAAATGGTTTGCTGGCCTGTAATATAATTTAGACTTGGAAATACTCTGCTACAGGATCTGTAGATTTCTTTCAATTTCTAATATTCTATACATCTTTGATTTTTTTATTAAATTAAATAGTCACATCAAAGTGACTATTGAACTACCGGAAGTATTTTATAACTCAGTGCTGATAAAAATTTTTGTAACATTATTAAGTGTTCCAAAGTAAACTTTTAAAACATTGTTTGAAAATGCAATCATGTGCAGTTTTGTCTCATTGGCA